AGAGTGGCTGTGTCATATTACATTTCGCGAGATATATTGGTTGAAAAATCGTGGATAATGTAGATCTCAATTATGGCGCGCTATTTTCTGTCGAGTCCGTGCGTGTAATTATTCATAGATTGCATTACAATATACAATTCCGCGCTTCGAGGCGTAAAGACGCGCGGCTATAAATCTCTTTTTCTCTCTCTGGGCTTTATCCTTATAAAGAATTATTTCTCGTCGTGCGCGGCAGTGTGGGCGAAAGCAGGGAGAAACGAGTCCGGGCGTTAGAATCTAAGGAGTAAAAAAAGAGATATTGTATTAAAACAGGGAAAGAGGGGGCGCGCGCGAGGACAGAAGGTGAAGAGTGAGAGAGGTAAAGGAGAAAAAAAATAACTAAAAACCTCGACAAAGTGTCGCCGCGAACAATCCGCCTGAAAGCGCGCGCTGCACAACTGCGCGAACTGAGCAAACCGACGGTACAATTCGGTGTCGTTGAAACAGCTGGTGGACTGCATACAGATATACGTGACTGCGGCGTTTAATCGCGGATTATCCCGTTCTTGAAAATTCTAATTTTCACGAGCGTTTAATCGCACGCGACGACGAAACATCTTGCGCGCTGCATCGGCCATCGCCGCATCGGCTTTTCGCGATTCTCGGGTGGCAAACTGGCGGCTCGCGTCAGGTGAGTCGGTTTTGTATGCAATTAATTAGCCTCCTATTCATTTAATTAATTAATATGAATTTTCATTTGCGTGCCGCAGAGATAGATTAGATAGCGTGTGCGCGCGCGACATGTTTCGCGTTTCCGAGTATTTCTGCCGGCGCATCAGCATAAATCACATTTATCCGCGACAGAGTAGTTGCAAATAGACGACACGAGTCAAGTGTATTCGCGGGAGCTACACTTTTCAAATTAAACGCCCCTTGACGACTTGGCGACTTCGCTCAGCGTGGGTGTTTATAACTCGCGCTACGGCCGTGGTTGCATCAGGATGCATCGCGGCGGGCTCAGCGGTTATCATCATTCTGGCGTTATTGCCGGCATCTTACGAGTCACCGTAATTGCGTCGATAAAACTTCGCTCACCGTCGGCAAGACGTAGTACACTCTGAAAACTTACGACGATCGGTGAGAGTGGATTTAGTGAATCCAACGGATTCGGAGCGTTTTGCACATACTCTTCAATATTCTCTATAATTTAAAAAAGAAATGCTCAGATAAATATTTCAGATATTTACATTATCTGATATTGATATTCAAAGCTACTCGGATTTTTCACGTTGCAACACTTTATCGATATTCAATGAGTAAAATCGAACTTTAATAAAATTCCGATTCGCGCGAGACAGAATTTGCGAGGTGTGTACAGGGACACATACTGTGTTTGTATTTACACACAGATTCAGTGCGACGGGTTGTCTATCCGTTTCGCTGGCAGGCGCACGTTTCGTTTGGTGGAATGCTCACTTGCCCGCTTTCTTATCCATGAAGTTTGCGTTGCAAGTAAGCATCCAAGGCCGCCAAGACCTATTGAAACTTGGAACATAAACTTCGTAGGAAAGAAAGCACCCAAGTGAACATCCCGCCAAAACCTACTGGAACTGGAACTTGGAACGTAAGCTTCAGGAAAGAAAGCGCGCAACTGAGCAATCCGCCGCCGTCTACTGAAATCTACACGCGCCTGCAGAAAAACGTATAGATAACCCGTCATGCTGATCTGTATGCAAACTCAACGCCTTGCACATCTGTGGAGCTGGGAGAATATGACGCTCAACCAAATGTTGGTGAAGCAACAATGACTTGTGCAATATTGATCAATTAGCGTTGTCGCGAATATCACCGGAATTCACCCAATATCCGTTTAGCGAGCATCCTAAATGTGCGCATAGTCGACTCGACTTCCTGTGGAACACGCTCACCTAGTTTTGCACATTGTCCTCCTCAATAAGAGCCTCTCAATTCGACATAGTCCAATAAGTTCGGCCGTTGTCACGCGATGTTGCAACTTCGTCTTAGAACTATGCCGTGCTGTATATGTCGCGCATTGTTACCTATTATCCGCCGATACTCGGGGACATTTGCATCAGTCGTTTGCCAGTTAATCCCCGAGGATCCCGGTGGCGGCGACCAAGTTTTCGATCGCTGAACACGAAAGTTTGTTTGGCGTTAAATTAGAAAAAGGAATAAGTTCCTCTTCACGTCGTTTGTCACTTAATTCCCTTGAAACGTCGCACGGCTCGTGAATATAATGCAACGAGAAGGCAAAGCTTTGTTTTATATACACGACTATACACTGTTCTATATATACGATTATACACGTCGCCTTGTGTCTTTTCCTACATTGCTGACGATAGGTTTTGGCGGGATGTTCACTTGGGTGCTTTCTTTCCTACGAAGTTTATGTTCCAAGTTTCAATAGGTCTTGGCAGCCTTGGATGCTTACTTGCAACGCAAACTTCATGGATAAGAAAGCGGGCAAGTGAGCATTCCATCAAACGAAACGTGCGCCTGCCAGCGAAACGGATAGACAACCCGTCGCACTGAATCTGTGTGTAAATACAAACACAGTATGTGTCCCTGTACACATCTCGCAAATTCTGTCTCGCGCGAATCGGAATTTTATTAAAGTTCGATTTTACTCATTGAATATCGATAAAGTGCGCCGAAAGATACGATCACTTTATCCGGTATCTGTGGGCGGAATCAATTTAACGAGTACTCTGAATGGAAAAAGTAGAGACTATTCGCAACTATTCTGTCAGGGATAAATGTAAAGTAGAATACTCTTTGAATGTCTTTTTCTGTCTCTTTCGCTCTCTACCGGACGCGATCAGGCTTTGCGTGATCGACGGCCGGTGCATAATTCAAATTGAGTCTTAGCGGCAGCGGCTGCAGCCGCAGCTACTGGGAATTCAGATTGCGTTTTCGCTTTGACCGCGTCCTATCTCGGGTGCATCCTGTTTGACCGGAAACCGCTCCTTGCTTCGTCGCGTGCGTCCCGCTTCGTCGAGCCTCGACTTCCGGAATAAGTAAACGTAAATACGGCCGCAAATTTGTTTTACGTGATGAACAAGGGGAGTTCCGCGTAAATTTCCTATGACGCGCGGGGAGAACTTGGCACGTCCCGTTGACTCCCTAACTACGTTAACTCCGGATAAAAAGACGGCGACGCGTTTTAGCGAGGAAACGTGCCAACAGACACACACAGACACACGTCGAGAGAGGAACATTTACACAGCGGAGCAATTAAATAGCGTGAGATGACGGGAATCACCTAAGCCGAGCCGGACGGCACTTTTGTTGTATCGACCAAATTTCTTCCTGTTAACGGAGATCCGCTCGATTTGTCAAGACCATCGTGCAATCGACGAATACTCTCGGGTATCGGGTGATCGATCGATAGCCGATATCGCACATGGAAAAGGAGGATCTCTCTTCTCTAGCGAGAGTTGAGAGGGAAACTCGGAACACTCTCTCTCTCTTATGTTCTTTAACGTCGCGGGAGGGCATCGCGAAGACTCTTGTCGCTTGTCTTTTCGCGATCGCGCGCTTTACCCGGATCGACACCTTTGAGAAAGGGACAGCGACAAGAGATAAAGGGAGGTGAGACTCGGTATCTGACGTTCGAAAACGGGATCGCGTTATCCGGAGATCGTACAATAGTTCTCTTCGTCCTCCTCCTCCCTCTCTCTGTCTCTCACTTGCTCTTTTCCTCTCTCTCCAGCTCTACTTTTCGCAATTTTCCTCAAGCGATTCTTCCATCCGCGCCGGATGAAGTCGTCGTTTCATGCGACTTTTACGTCGCTCATGAACGGGATTCAAACATCCGCCTCCGGCTTCCTGACTGTCGCGCTGGCGGATATGTCCCTGACGCGGAAGACGAGGCTGAACGTCATATACGTTTGCGTCCTTTATAGCGTGAAAAAATTTTAAAGTGGGCCTTCTTCTTTTTGAGCCAATTCACGACGTAATATATTTTGATGATTGTTGGAAATGCTTCAGACGTCTCGGAAAATTGTTTGTGTCAATGCGTTTTGTACGTCGCAGGAAACACTTTATTGTTCTATCGAGAAGCGATTGATATTTTTCAGACGAGCGCATTGAATTTAGATATTTGTATTGTCTCTTAAAATTTACTATGATCTATCAGCGACATCGCAAACAGCAACAGTTTCAAACGTCAAAGTTTCGAGGAAGTCATGTCCGTAATTTGAAATACAGTTTGACGTAATTTGAAAGAAATGGCTGAGCCATTTTGGGATTTTGGAAATTCGCACCTGAGTAGATTCTTGACAATTATAGATTCATTGTGAAAATTGCCAGGATCTATCTATTTCTATCTATCTATTACCTGGCAGATAAAAAGAGGCACTTCGTACATCACGCGTTATCTCGCGTCACCGCTTTCAGGTCCGCCTGGAAATTTCTTGTACCACTGCCAAACGCGCCTATGGCGTCTCTACATTAATGCGAAATCCGTGTTATCTGCAGAGCGATGCGTCGAAACGCCTTCCACCTCACGAAAACATCGCCAATCATGTACAATGCAATTTTTTTCATCACTCTCTCTCTCTCTCTCTCTCTCTCTCTCTCTCTCTATATATATATATATATATATATATATATATATATATATATATATATCCATCCCTCCTTCCTCTCTATCTATAATATTTATCTATCTACCCAGGTCTAATATATTTCTGATTGTCGTCGTTGTAATCAAAGCGTCTCGCCTCAAAGTGCAACTATATTTAAAGCGAGAGAAGATACTCTGACGAGAATGTACTCTTTTTTTCCCTCCCTTTAGAGGAAACCCTTTGTGAGTGAAGTGTCATCTTTTTTGCTGCGACGTTTGCTCAAAGTGCGAGACACGATTGCTAAAAGCTAGCCGATAAATGAATCGCCAAGAATAGCATTAGATTTAAACCGCAGAGAGCAAGCGTGTAGAAGAAAGCGAAGAAAGCGAGAAGCAAGCATGGAAAATTTTAGCGAAGTTTGCAAAAACTTACCAATCCTTCAGGGAACCGGTCGCTGAAGCACGCTTCGAAATTATCCTGCAAATTTATAATGTTATGTGTCTCTTAAAAGTTCTTTTTTTTAGCGAATAATCACAAATGACATTTGAAAGTTGCATTATTAAACATACAGCGTGATACTTACTGTAATTATACTTCGATCACACCTGGAATGGCGTAGTTTATCGGGCATATAATTTCCGGCTAATAATTGGATGCGACGATTGCGGATTCCTCTCCTCTATCCGCCTCTCGTTCACGACAAGCTAAAATTATGACACTACAGATGAGACAATAGCGGATAAAATAAATGACGCGTGATCACGTAAACAACGCAAACAGTTTCGACGTAAAATCCGATTTGTACTTGTAATTAGAGCAATTAGTTTCATTCGTTCGCAACGTTCAATAACGTAGTTGGAGTCGACGGAAACTGATATCAATTCTACTTAACAAAAGTGTCACAATACACTTTTGTTTGACAGAATTTCGATTCAAATGGTCTGGTTACGAATATACACGAAGTGTTAAAGATTTAAAGTCTATGATAAATAATTTCGCTCGATATTGTTGATCTTCTTGTCGTTGAATAAAGAAAAAAAAAAAACCGTCGGGTCGAGGAAATTTACAATGAAGATTGCAGAGCAATTTCCTTCAGAATTGATTTTATTCAACGTGCCTCTCGGAAACGCACGCGTCAATAATCGTATTCGACTGTGAAAAATAACGACGATGGGGCTGTTTGCATGTAGGGTATGCAAATTTGCGATTTACAAACTTGAGGGGAGGGATGCAAATTTGGTGACACGCCGTCAAAAGTATATGCGTCCACATTGGAAAAAATATATACACACACACACATACACGTACACACGCTCATACGCACACGCATATGTATATATGCGTATGTACACATCTCGGTCGGGAAAACTTCTTTCTCGGGTAAATTAGACGGCGTCGCGTCGAAGTGTTGCTTACGTTTCTAAAAGTGCTTTAATTTAGAAACTGCCGTGGACCTTCGCAATCCATCAAGCCGCACGAATTTGCACCTCGCGTGCATACAGTGTTTCACGGCCCGAATCGACTTGTTACACGCTATACAGATTCTTCAGAGAAACGAGCTTCGGTCTTATACGACGTATCCCACCGAATATCCTTCCGATCTTAGATAGAAACAGCATTGGGAAGTCGATTCTTACTTTTGCGTTGACAATGTGGTTAATTAGAAAATTAACGATGAACTGTGTGAGCGCTAAGCTGTTGTAAAGACAAGATATAGACATTGAATTATTTTATAAATGCAATGGACTGTATCAACGCTCGTCTATATTACGCGAAAACGTAGCCCGGATTTCAAATATTCATGTTGTCGTAATTTATCGTGCATTTTCGACGTGGCATAAACCGAACATTGGTGAGTGCCAAAAATCGAAGGCGATACAAGCGAATGCTTGCTCCAACACGTCGGGAAAATTATCCTTCCCACTGGGATCCATCACCGCAGATTGTATCTCTGTTTTCGCGTCGGGCCAATTAGCTTGCTGCCAATGCAAATAAATTGTTGGTATGTGATGTGTTTCCGGCGATTCGATCGTTATCGTCCTGTTTCTCGTTTAGGAACTAATTCGTTAGAAGATGCATCAGCATTCGCGGTCCCAAAAATAAATCGTTTTCGATGACACGCGAACGTAACGCCAATAAATTTAAGCATGGACATATTCGTCGAATAGAAATTTGAGCTTTCCCGTAATGTAGTGGAATTGAATATCGATTTTTTCCCAATTTTTTCGAGGTAAAATCGCATATTTTCGATATACTACACTTATAATCCATCTCATAAATAAATAATCTAATAAACGCAACGAATGATAAACGAATTCTTAGTAAATATTTATGGCAAGTGTCACGTCCCATTTTTTAAACTTTTTTTATTATTATATGCTAATTATTTGATATTAATATAATCCGATAATTCTCCGACAGTTCACACAATATTCATTCACACGTGTTTCTTGTTGTTACAAACATTTTCGTATGTTTATACTATTTGTTTCAGTTAAAAGTATAATATACCGTGTCTTTCAAAGTTTCAAAGATGATCTTTGTAAATTTATCTTGATTTACAAAGATGTTGAAGCAAACTGTTTCCGATTTATAATTATCTTACTTTGCGGGTCGTTTCAATCAATCGACAGAAACTATTTATTAGAAAAAGGCAGTCTATAGTATTAAAGTTTCCTAGATTCAATGTCCTCTCGCACGTAACGCTCTCGAACGCAAATGTGAATATCGATCATCGTATTTCGGTTGCGTAATGCTGTTTCTTGTTGTCACTTGAGGTGCGGTGTTAAACCGAGCGGAACAACAGACGGAACTAACAATAGCTTCTGTCTGTATTGTTTAAATGCCGAGGGACAAAGAATAGGAGTGGAAGTGGGAATACGTAATACGCTGTGAATAAGCTCCGATTAAGCTCCGTATCCAGTTTTACTGCGCATACACGTGCACATGCGCGCACACACACACACACACATACGCACGCACGCACACATAGCCCCCGACAAAGTTGCATGCCACTGACACCATTTGGTCGCTAGCAAATTCGTCGGTCTAACCCACTCGCTTTCTCTCTCTTTCATGCGGTAAGAACTATCGTTATCGAGGTATCTTGTTCCCGAGACGTGGCAATTCCTGCGATTGCAATGCGAACCGAGACTACGGTTACAGCATCACGCATCAGTAAGAAATTGAGCTGCAATTCATGCGTCATTGCGAGCATGGTAGCCTGCTTCGAAACGGCTCGCGCACCATTGCAAAGCCGATTTTCAGAACAGATCGGACTCTAAATTGTGAATCTAACACTTTAAAAATCATTCTTCTATGTTGAAGATAAAGTACGTCAGTACTTGAGAGCAGCGCGGGCCCATAATTTTTATACATTTATGTAATCGAGAAGGAGAATATTATAAATTACAACGTCATGAATTTTAGTTATAATTATTTTAAAAAATATAAAATCAGGGACCGCGAGCTTTGTTTTCTATCATTTATATGTACAATTCGAAATGTTGGATCATCGTTCCTTTTGGAAAAGCTAAAATAGTGGATCTCCGGGAGAAACCGAGGCTCCCTGAAAACAAGGCCTTCGATTCCTTATACAAATGGTACCGATATACAAATGGTACCAAAAGTGATTCGTGCGCCGTAAGAGATACAGTTTTCTCACGACAAAATATTTTTTAGGATCACCTCGTTAATGCTTGGCGTCAGAGTTGTCTATACGCAGGCTGTCCCAGAATCATCAATGTTTCTCGCGAACTCGTCGTCCAATTCGATTCGAAAGGTTACAAACTGATTTCTCGACACAGCGTCCTGACCAGGCTTCTCGGGATGAACGTGCCGCCTCGAAGTAGACTCTGCAAAAATGCCGCTCGCTCGTTTCCTCGAGAAGGCTTCCGCCGGCTCCCGTTTTGGAACGATCTGTGGATGAGAGCCTCGCGATCCGCTCGCGCCGAGGACGACAGTTTACTAGGTGTTCCGGCCGTAGGTGCTCTGCCGGGTGATTTGCGTGGTGCACGGGCTATCCTGAACGGAGCTCAGCCGCACCACCGAGCTGTGAGGCAAATGCGTGCTGACACCGTTCTCGTGGCGAGTCTGATCGCCACCGGCGCAGGCCATCGCCAGACCGCTGCCGTGCGCTCTGGCGCCCTTGCAGTGTAGGAGCTCGCGCATCCCCTTGCGGAAGTTGCGCGACAGGAAGGCATACAGCAGCGGGTTCAGGCAGGAGTTCATGTATGAGACCAGGAAGGTCGACACGGTCAGCAGAGAGCTGAAGTTCGACGTGCGGTCGTAATTCGGGCCCCAGTGCCGCCACACGATGCGCACCTGCTGAGGCAGGTTACACACGGCGAACATCATCACCACGGCGATCAGCATTCTGCGAAACAGTGGCGAGAGAGGGTTGGTCGGGTGCGATCGGGTCGACCTTCTCGAGATGATCTACGTTCCGCGAAGTTTCACCTTTCGAAGCCGAAACAGCGGTTTTCCCGAATGACTTCAACCATTTTTATTGCGAAACTTTCAAAATCTGTTTGTGTGATATATTAGGGGAAATGAGATTCCAATGTGCAGGGTGCCTTGACAGTTGGAATATTGGGGCGTAATCGTGCGCGATCCTATTATAATATAATAATTTTCTTTAATTAATAACTGAAAATTTTACATAGTCGTTTGCGAAGTGGTAGAGGAATTTTGTGTTTAGTTTGATAAGTTCTACTTGCATACAACGGGTTATTAATTGATACCCTGTACAGTCTATAACTAAGTTTCCCAATATCTGAACGTTGATTTTAACCTTCCAAATAACTTTATGATTTTAACTTTCCAATGCCTTGGAACTTCGCAGAATTAACTGAGACGCGCAAAGTATAGAACCGAACTTGCGTCAATAAACTAGCCAGGAGAATAGTATATTTTCTCAATAATGTCAATATTCTCGATATTGTCAGTATTATTGACATTTTACCCGAATATCATTACAAATATAGCGCCGAAAGGAACACGTACCCCGCCCGAACGGACATTGGCTCCGGCGAGACGGAAATTGGAGAAACAGAACACTATTGTATCGCGCATGTTGCGGAAATAGAGAGATACCTGATAACACCGCGTCTCGCTCTCAGCACGTTCTTACTGGAGGTGTGCACATGATGGACCCTGCCGTTTCTACTGCGGGCGACCAGACCGGGCCCCCCGAGGGTCGCGCCGCTTCTCCAAAGACCCACGGCGATTCTGGTATACAAGCAGCACATGAGGAAGAGCGGCAGGAGGTAGAGAAAGACCAGATTCACCACGTCCAGGACGTTCTTGTTGTGCTTCTTGATGTTGGCCACGCAGATGATGTCGACGTCGCCGGTGTTGAGACGATTGCTGATGGTCTCGACGTAGAAGAATCTCGGCGAGGCGTAAACGGCCGCCAAGATCCACACCACGCCTATCACCATCCGGAGGCGACTTCTAGTCAACATGGACCGACACTTGATGGGATGAACGATGGCCAGGTAACGCTCCGTGCACACTACCACTAGGATAAGTATGCTCGCCGTGTAGGAGAGCGCGTGCACAAACATATACACTTTGCAGAGGAAGTCGCCCAGTTGCCAGCTGTTCATCAGATAGTTGGTGAGTGTCTGGTAGACGCAGAATATACCCACGCAGAAGTCCGCGACCGCCAGATTAGCCAGAAAGAAGTTCGTGATGCTGCGCAACCGGCGGGAAAACGTCACCACGAAGATCACCATCAGGTTACCTGAAACGCGAAAGCGCCGGGATTGCGAGCTGTTAGCTGATGGCGAAGAGATTTAGCCGACGAGGAAGCGCGGCGATCCGAACATCGTTAAATAACAACATCTTTAATTTCGCACGTAATTAAGATACAAAAGTTCATTTTTATTCGGCTGTTAGAGAATTCTTCTTCTACTGATCGATCTCTTCCTCAGAACTCTCGTGTAAATATCTCGAGAGAAGAGATATGTTCGACTATCTTGGAGCATCTTGTAAGTCGAGTTTGCCTATTTGCGGTTTCCTCACGGCATCGCCATTTCGGCGAACAATAAACATGATCTACGATCGGATCCGGTGAACCCGTTTTACCATTTTATCGCGATAAATCTGGATCACTGGAGGAACGCTGGAGGAACAAAGACGCCCTCCTCTATGTAGGTAGAAGACACCACCAACAAATAGCGAGCACAGCATCTTTCAGCGATACGTCAGGGACAGTCTTAAATTAATCTGCGCAATTCACTTATTAAATGAACTCGATCTCCTTAACTCGATTTCACGTCATTTAATTCTCATGATTTTCCGATTTTTCTGTCCTTTTTTCTTTTCCAATATAATCTTCCAGGCTATAAACCGATTACTCCTAGATCGAACTCGGATTCTACGGCCCGGTTTATCTCACAAAGAACTAGATCATTACGATTCTCTTTTGAGAGATATGCAAACAGTCCGATACATTCGTTAGAAAATGGAAGTAAAATGAAAATAAGCTAACAAGAGGAGTTTGAGCCTTTTTAACCGAGGATAATGTAAAAAATACTTAATACGTCGTTTGTGACATTTATACATTTCTCTTTGTGTTTGTGCGACTTTTCTTTCCATAATACGTGTAAATTTTATTTTGTTGAAATATAAACAACTTTCCATATTCATTCTCTTTACAAGAATAGAACCTCATCAAAGAAATGTTAGTTCAGTTCTATGTAATAAGTAACCCGATTTGAGTTAATATTCCTGATTGAAATGCTAAACTTGTTAGGATTTAGAATCTATTTGAAATAAATTTGATATTTACGATGAACTCGTGACAGACTTGCGGATATACAAACTTATACAAATATTTGAAACAAGCAACATTCGCTTGAATGCCATATGCATTTTTCTGTGTGTAGTTATGCGTCGCATTAATCAACAAACATGAGAGCAAACCGTAATCGAAGTATAATAGAGCGCTCCTCTTCAATAATTCAGCACCGCACTCTGCTTCGGCAGCTTAATAACTCCCCGATAATGGATCGTTAAGCGACCACCACGAAGAAACATACGATAACGCAATAATACTGTTAAGCGAGGGACTCAGCCGCGTAATTGCTTTCATGGCGCCCGCTATCCACGTTAATTTCATTGATAAGATTTACTGACTCCTACACGTCGTACGCGATATGCAGACTGAACAATGGACATCGTCGTCGTCCAACCCAATTAGCCTCATCTAGTATTCACCCTCGAGGTACCATTAGAATTCCTCTTGAAAATGTTTATCGCTCTCACCACAGTCTCTCTCTCTCTCTCTCTCTCTCTTTCCTTCCTTCTTTCTCTTACTCTCGCTCTCGCTCTCACTTTCATTCTCTCAACACGCGACAACTTTCCTTATGACTGTGACGCTCTTTAATTACACAGAGTGGTTGAATAAAAATCGTGTTTGAATATAATACCGACATCCCGTTAAGAGATGCAATTAGATGGCTCTTTTATGTCAGAACATAAAATTAAACGTCGTTTGACAAGAAATGGTATTTCAAGAAATGTTAAGTTTTAATTATCTTTAATTATCGCTTGAACTCGAATTCTCTGTAGATTTGGGTCGTACTGTATAAATTATCTTATTTAATTAAATAAGTTTATTTAACAATCCCTTTGGTACTTATATCATTCCCGTATTTCGCATCTAGATTTCAAGAAAGGAAGAAACGATGATGGCCACTGCGTTCCGGCCTTTTGCATATTTCTTTAGGGATCGTCATCCTTTGTTCTTCGTTTGCGCACTCGAGGCCGCTGTAGAGGCAAGCATATACGACATTGCTCCGGTTAGAGAAGCGCATGTCACGGAGATAACACGAAATACGGAAAATGAGATGGCACGAGCTGAGAAACGGAGAACTGTTGTCACGGACGTCGTTGTTTTTATGCAGGATGTACCAGCGTCAGTGTTGCTAGTCTCCTTGTCAGTCTCCTTTAATTTTCTTAACTGAAGGGAATGAGCACCTCAGTACGGATCAAATTTAATCTTACTTTTGTCCCTCGCGCTCTACTTCTATCTATCGCAATATTGAATCCGCATAATACGTAACTTGTAAATATCATTCAGACTTTTTTGATCTTCTCAATATCTCAGGCCTGCATTAATAATCGTTTCTTGAATCTCTCGCATAAAATATTCAGATATACATCTAGAGTTAGATTTGAGGTTTATATTTGAGATTTATATTTGAATTAGTCATACGATATATATGCGACGTTACATTTATAATCGTGATTCAGCTGAAAAACTTACATCCAACTCTGAGGCCCGTGTTAACAGTTATTACTTGAAACGCGCGAAATAATCTCAAATTTCAATTCAGAGTTACATAAAATTTTTTTAGTTGAATTGCACGATTACTAGTATAAAAATGTCACATATATTATAACCTAATTGGTAAACTTGGACCTGATTCTGAATAAAAGTCTGATTCTGAATAAAGGGCCGGTTTTTCAATAATAGTTTAAACTTAGATTTTAACTTAAACTCTGTTTAAACAAAAACGCATTGTTAGAATAGAATTTAAACTTGAAGTTTAAACTGCTATTGAAAAATCGGGCCTAAATATTTCACCTAAAGCAAGTTTCAAGTAACGGCTATTAATATAGGTCTCAATGGGTTTAGGTGATCTTCTCAATGATGTGTTCATCAGCACTCTAAAAAATCATGTCCTGCGTAACACGACACGATGAAACGTGATGTCACACGAGCTGACGATATGACACAGCTCTTCCTTCATCCGTTCGTAAAATAACTCATACGTTAATGAAGTTATTGCGACAATAAGGGTTGTCCTAATCCCCAATCTTTAAAGTTACGATACCACCGAGGAATGATAATGATGACCTGAAAGCCCGAACTCGAAGAAACTGAGCATTCGCAATTTCATAATTTATTATGGAAAGTCGAAGGAACACGAGCGAAGTGAGTGAAAAGTTTCGGTGGTCTCGAAGTTGAAAATTATATACCAAACGCGACAAAAGGAACTACTTCTCAAGTTCCATATTCCACCGCCCGCTTCCTCTCTCTCTCTCTCTCTCTCTCTGTCTCCCTCCCCCTCTCTCTCTTTCTTTTACGCCGCAATCGCTTTAATCCCTCTTATTTTTCTCAAGAGATTCTCTCGTGAGATTTCGCGGGATAAGACGGTGAGCTATTGGCGACGGATGGTCGGGGGATTTAAGCTGTTGGCGGCCGTCGAACGATTCGTAGCGGGAGATTAATACGATTCTAGCGCGAGTTTCCCGACATCGTAAATCGACGCGCGAATTTTGCGTCGCGATAATGCCGATCGATCTCCGTCGATAACGAGCCATTTGTATCCGAACATTTTAATTTCAAATCCCCATCGGATTTATTGTCATTTGACCGTGAACGCGATTGTATTCGCGTGTCGATACCTTACAAATATAATGGCCGACTTCATTTCTCATAGCCTGTGAACGGAAGCATGAACGTTTGAAAATATTTTCCTTTCAACACTGTAATATCCCCTTCTTACAATAACGTAATTCTTCCAGTCTCAGATTTAAGGAAAGTAGGAAGTAGATTATCTCGCGCGATTTTGCATACAAGCGATGTTCGGAAAATTTTAATTTTTCCTATTAAGGGAAAATTAAGTTTATTAAGGGAAAATTCTTTTTTGAAGAATTATTTTATTCTTCTAAAATTTCATTGTGCTTTAAAAAATCCAGAAGAAAAAAATTTCTGTTAAGTCTTAGTAAGATTTAAGCTGTTAATTAGGTCTTTAATTATATGTAACCTTATATCACTAGCAGGCGACGCGTGCAATAACGTACAAATGATTAATCATTGTTAAGTATCTAGTTTGTAGAACTTGTGAAACTCTATGCTTGCCACATATTTAATGAATATTACATAATTAGTATTAAAAGGACTGCAAGGTGTAACTTATGCGGCGAACAGTTTTATGTTCAAGCGCGGAAGCTCCCTCATTCGAAGAGTTAAAACGTTCATTACGCCGATAAACGACGATCGCGAGTGATGGATGCTTCCCTTTTTATGACTATAATTTGCACGCGAGATTTTACCCGTGACGATCGTTACCCGCGCTTGACGATAAAAAATTATCGTTGAACGTTTTCACAGCCGAGACCGGAGAGGAGAAGTTCAATTTTACGATAATCCGGGAGTCGCGTACTTGACGTTCAAGATTTTCCATCATTCTGCGTGAATTCAGCTTTTGCCATACGAGAAATGCAGCTTGAAAAGAACCTAAGACGCAAGCCCCCATTCAAAGGCACTCTTCCTCTTTGTTAGATTCCCTTTATTGTTGCGATCGGCGGGGACGCATTGTGATCCGGATTAAGGAGCAATTATGAAGATTCTTACTTGTGACTCATTGAGCATTTCTCTCGTATGGAGTGTCTTTGAACAGTTCTTCAGACGTGGACTCTTTCCATTCCCGAAGACATGATACTTTTAGAGAAAATATGACGAGAGTGCCTCTGTTATTGAAGTATTTTTTGTTCAACCTAACATCAGTCAACGTCAATCAATGTCGACGAACGTCAACAAACAAATAAACAAACGTTAGTCAATGCCAACGAGTGTTAACCAATGCCAACGCGACGCCAATCAACTGATAACCGAGCTAAGGTCGGATTTTACCGACCACCCTTTCGCGCACCCTCTTACTAGCTACTGGCTGGCACCGTCTGGAATTTTCGACACACTGAGGTGAGGAGAAATTCTCGTTTCTACGA